GTATAGTATGATGAACAGAAAGGAGAGGATGATAATATATACATGAGTCATCTATCTGTGTTTGATAGATTAATTGATGAATACACAAATGTTGTCACAACATCCACCATCAACAGCCCTCCCAAACTATGTTTTCGGGCGTTTTGGTCAATTTCGAAGAAAATGTTTTTTTGACCTTTGACCTCGACCCCCCCCCACCCTGTCAACATCCATCCTCAGCCACCGTCCCAAACCATATTTTATGAAGTTTTGAGCATTTTTGGAGAAAACGTTTTTTTGACCTTTGACTTTTGACCTACGACAGACACACAAACGAATTTCCGTTTTTTGACCACTTTTTTCGACATGACCCTCCTTTCAGTCGAGGGAAAAATAAGATTTCATTTAGACATTCGTATTACCACATGATCAGACTTTAACAATGAAATCGAAACATTTCCTCTCTTTCATTAAAAAATATTTTATATTTTTAGAGATTGAAGATGTATCAATGAATGAAAAATAATGCCTATCCTTCAACCATAAAATCGATGTTAAACTATTCTCGAAATATGGCACTGAGATAGTTTTTTAGCTTTGCCATATAGATTCAACAGACATGATATAGAAAAATATCACTGTATTTTATAATTTTGATTCACCCTCACACTCTTCTTTCTTCTCTCCTCTCCTCCCATAATGAACTCTATTAGTTTCTCAGTTATTATGAATACTAACGAATGACATGGCATAAACGTGATCGAAATCGACAGAGCATCCATATCCTAGATACTCTATATTACTAACCGATCGACAATTCTTTTAACTGTCTGATTTCTGGAAAATTCCATAGTTTCTATAAGGTAACATTTCAGCTTGTTCAACACTGGATCAATAATGTAAGTCACAGCCGTCATCCACGCTTGATTTACATGTAATGCCCACATGTCAGTGGTTAGATAGACACATAGAAATTCAAATAAAATCTAAGACGATGTCCAAGAGAAATAGTAAAGACTCTTCTGATGTCGACTAAAGTTCTTTCTAAACCGTTTTGCGGGTTTCATCGCAAATTTGATTTGACACATTTTCACGTTGTTAATAAATAAGATGTCTTAGTCTCTTGAAATATAACTTATAATTGTGGTCTGTCAAAAAGAGATAATGGTAATAAATTACAGATAACGAAGTCAACAGCTAATTTTAACTTAAAAATGATGTATAAGAAACAATACGCGAGTATAAAATACATTCAGCGTCATAAAGACTAATCACCTATAGATTTGAAATAGTACCATACTAGACTGTGTTTCTTTTTTGATTGATCTTCTAGGACTGTCGATGAGAGAAGGCGATAATATTATTTTAATATTTGTCGTGTTGTTTTCTGCGGATATGACAATTGAATCGTCAGATGATGTCTGTGAAAAATCAATATTAATTGGTCATACATAAGAAGTGCGAAGACGTTTTGAGCTGAGCGTAATATTGATGCATAAATCGTACATAAAACAAAATGAGAAAGAGTGATTTCTGTATGTAAAGATCACAAAAAAAACGTTATTTTCGATCTGGTCATGATCACAATCGAATTCTTTGATGTTATTAAACAGTTTCTATTCTTTTGATCAAGGTAAAATATGAACAGCTTGTATTAGAATATACATTTTAATCCATCACTAATATTTCTATAACAGAGATTTATTTACGCCTATGTGCTTGACTAAAGAAAGTAAAATAAATATTTATATTCATTTGAATATCATAACTTTTCATTTCTATATCGATGCTGCATAATATAATATATTCTACTTTTAAATTGATGATTTTATTATTATTGAATCGGAGTCTCGAGTGTTATATTTATTTACGTCTTTGTACATACTACTTCCTTTCAAGAGAAACGGAAGTGTGGATAGTATATAATCACTGTGCTGATTTAAAACTCATTACATAACTATGGCATGCATACGAATCCTATGTTTTTTTGTTATAAGTAATATACATCATGTGCAAGTTGTCACAGGTATGTGCTTGAATCAGTAAGAAATTTAGAACTCTATACATGCTCTTCTTTGTTGTCATCAACAGGGAAATTGGGTGTGACAGCTGTCAAACAATCTCACAGTCCCGAATTTGGGATCGATTATATTGGATGCCGTGACTGGACGAATCCAACTGGTATGAACTGCAATCCTTATCAAGGTGATACAGATTGCAATGCGAAGCTACCGATGCTCTGTGTTAGAGTAGATCAAAGCCCTCGCCCTCCATATCTGATTTATGGTGAGGGGGCTGCTATGCCAGCAGCCAATTATGCTGGATGGAACGGAGGTCATGTGTCTACTACTTTGCCGACTGAAGCATCTCGCTTTAGGAATCGAGCAGAAGCAAACCGATTTTGTGCTGAAACACTAGGTGAACATTGGGAAATTGCTGGAATATGGGGAAGTCAGCCGCACTGGATTTCTGGTATGAATGGAACCAAATATGCGGGTAGCGAATGGACAGCGAACAAGGATAGACTTCTAAATGGAGGATGGAGTTTTTATACATATGGTAATGTCCGGAATGATACTCGATTTTGGATTCAGGGTCCAGCTGATCAGTCATCAACATGTTGGGGACATTAGTTGAATGTATCATGTTTCGTTATATGAACATAAACACCTCGAATTTTTCATTCGTTCAATGGTTTTAATAAAATATAAGCGATGTAAAGCAACGTATTTCATGAGTAAAAATTGTACGGAGCAATTTTTTTTTATAGCAAAAGTGATTTTCACCATACGAATCTACATGTAGTTTTATTTGGAAGCAGCAATCTATTGTATGTTGAATAACAAAGATATTGATCTTGTCCAAAACTGTTTTAGATTAACTAATTCCTGCATTACACCATAATGATAGAAACATTATTAAGGAATGTCTATATTTCGATACACAGAAATTACGTATCAGTTTGCGATTCATCTTCTTCATTAGTACAAATTTTGCAACCATCTAAGAGACGATTATATGATAAACATTTACTATTATCATAACCATTATTTCATAAATCAATATCATAAAATAATGAACATGATGAAATAAAACTTTGAAAATCTTTAAACATATTATATACATATATATTTTTGAATTAGTTTATGATCTATTTAAAGATAAATATGGACATAAAGTTTCATTATATATAAATATTGATGATGAGATTTCTTTTAAATAAAATATATTATCAACATACACTGCATATTTAAACATCAATATTTTTTTCTTGATTATATTCATTTATTTCTAATTCATTAAAACGCGATATTCATCAAAATCATTTTCACTTAAAAGGAATCTTGAGGGTGGGTGTGTGGGTGTGGGCGAGGGCCAAGGGCCAAGAGTGACAGATTAACAATCATTTTTCTCGAAATATTTGCCATTTGAAGAGTAGTCTTTTCCGACTGAACCTATGGTCGACGGAAGAGCATATTTATAGCGTCGAGATATGACTTGAGGCATTAACTAAGAATTTACTAACTCAGTAATTTGGCTAAACGAAGACTCGCCACATGGTCTCTTGAGAAAAAGTCGTTTGAATGGTGTCTATCTGTGGCATGATTGAAGGCAAAAAATGACAGAAACGTCACGAATAGCGCATGGAGATCGACGAGGCTGATTGACAGTTGCCGCAAATCATAAAATGGATCGATAGCTAGCGCGCGATATCAGACTGTGAAATTCGATGTC